TCTTGTGTATCATCCATGAAGGTAGTGTCTTGTGTATCATCCATGAAGGTTGTGTCTTGTGTATCATCCATGAAGGTAGTGTCTTGTGTATCATCCATGAAGGTTGTGTCTTGTGTATCATCCATGAAGGTAGTGTCTTTGTGTATCATCCATGAAGGTTGTGTCTTGTGTATCATCCATATATCATCCATGAAGGTTGTGTCTTGTGTATCATCCATGAAGGTAGTGTCTTGTGTATCATCCATGAAGGTTGTGTCTTGTGTATCATCCATGAAGGTAGTGTCTTGTGTATCATCCATGAAGAAGGTTGTGTCTTGTGTATCATCCATCATCCATGAATGAAGGTTGTGTCTTGTGTATCATCCATGAAGGTAGTGTCTTGTGTATCATCCATGAAGGTTGTGTCTTGTGTATCATCCATGAAGGTAGTGTCTTGTGTATCATCCATGAAGGTAGTGTCTTGTGTATCATCCATGAAGGTAGTGTCTTGTGTATCATCCATGAAGGTAGTGTCTTGTGTATCATCCATGAAGTCTTGTGTATCATCCATGAAGGTTGTGTCATGTGTATCATCCATGAAGGTAGTGTCTTGTGTATCATCCATGAAGGTTGTGTCTTGTGTATCATCCATGAAGGTTGTGTCTTGTGTATCATCCATGAAGGTTGTGTCTTGTGTATCATCCATGAAGGTAGTGTCATGTGTATCATCCATGAAGGTTGTGTCTTGTGTATCATCCATGAAGGTTGTGTCATGTGTATCATCCATGAAGGTTGTGTCATGTGTATCATCCATGAAGGTAGTGTCATGTGTATCATCCATGAAGGTTGTGTCTTGTGTATCATCCATGAAGGTAGTGTCTTGTGTATCATCCATGAAGGTTGTGTCATGTGTATCATCCATGAAGGTTGTGTCTTGTGTATCATCCATGAAGGTTGTGTCTTGTGTATCATCCATGAAGGTTGTGTCATGTGTATCATCCATGAAGGTTGTGTCTTGTGTATCATCCATGAAGGTAGTGTCTTGTGTATCATCCATGAAGGTAGTGTCTTGTGTATCATCCATGAAGGTAGTGTCTTGTGTATCATCCATGAAGGTAGTGTCATGTGTATCATCCATGAAGGTTGTGTCTTGTGTATCATCCATGAAGGTTGTGTCTTGTGTATCATCCATGAAGGTTGTGTCTTGTGTATCATCCATGAAGGTAGTGTCATGTGTATCCATGAAGGTTGTGTCTTGTGTATCATCCATGAAGGTAGTGTCTTGTGTATCATCCATGTGTATCATCCATGTGTATCAAGGTTGTGTCTTGTGTATCATCCATGAAGGTTGTGTCTTGTGTATCATCCATGAAGGTAGTGTCTTGTGTATCATCCATGAAGGTAGTGTCTTGTGTATCATCCATGAAGGTAGTGTCTTGTGTATCATCCATGAAGGTTGTGTCTTGTGTATCATCCATGAAGGTTGTGTCTTGTGTATCATCCATGAAGGTAGTGTCTTGTGTATCATCCATGAAGGTAGTGTCTTGTGTATCATCCATGAAGGTTGTGTCTTGTGTATCATCCATGAAGGTAGTGTCTTGTGTATCATCCATGAAGGTTGTGTCTTGTGTATCATCCATGAAGGTAGTGTCTTGTGTATCATCCATGAAGGTTGTGTCTTGTGTATCATCCATGAAGGTTGTGTCTTGTGTATCATCCATGAAGGTTAGTGTCTTGTGTATCATCCATGAAGGTAGTGTCTTGTGTATCATCCATGAAGGTAGTGTCTTGTGTATCATCCATGAAGGTTGTGTCTTGTGTATCATCCATGAAGGTAGTGTCTTGTGTATCATCCATGAAGGTTGTGTCATGTGTATCATCCATGAAGGTAGTGTCTTGTGTATCATCCATGAAGGTAGTGTCTTGTGTATCATCCATGAAGGTAGTGTCATGTGTATCATCCATGAAGGTAGTGTCTTGTGTATCATCCATGAAGGTAGTGTCTTGTGTATCATCCATGAAGGAAGTGTCTTGTGTATCATCCATGAAGGTTGTGTCTTGTGTATCATCCATGAAGGTAGTGTCTTGTGTATCATCCATGAAGGTTGTGTCTTGTGTATCATCCATGAAGGTAGTGTCATGTGTATCATCCATGAAGGTAGTGTCTTGTGTATCATCCATGAAGGAGTGTGTATCATCCATGAAGGTAGTGTCTTGTGTATCATCCATGAAGGTAGTGTCTTGTGTATCATCCATGAAGGTTGTGTCTTGTGTATCATCCATGAAGGTTGTGTCTTGTGTATCATCCATGAAGGTAGTGTCTTGTGTATCATCCATGAAGGTTGTGTCTTGTGTATCATCCATGAAAGGTAGTGTCATGTGTATCATCCATGAAGGTTGTGTCATGTGTATCATCCATGAAGGTTGTGTCTTGTGTATCATCCATGAAGGTTGTGTCTTGTGTATCATCCATGAAGGTAGTGTCTTGTGTATCATCCATGAAGGTTGTGTCTTGTGTATCATCCATGAAGGTAGTGTCTTGTGTATCATCCATGAAGGTAGTGTCTTGTGTATCATCCATGAAGGTTGTGTCATGTGTATCATCCATGAAGGTAGTGTCTTGTGTATCATCCATGAAGGTTGTGTCTTGTGTATCATCCATGAAGGTAGTGTCTTGTGTATCATCCATGAAGGTTGTGTCTTGTGTATCATCCATGAAGGCAGTGTCATGAAGGTGTGTATCATCCATGAAGGTAGTGTCTTGTGTATCATCCATGAAGGTTGTGTCTTGTGTATCATCCATGAAGGTTGTGTCATGTGTATCATCCATGAAGGTTGTGTCTTGTGTATCATCCATGAAGGTAGTGTCTTGTGTATCATCCATGAAAGGTAGTGTGTATCATCCATGAAGGTTGTGTCATCATCCATGAATGAAGTGTCTTGTGTATCATCCATGAAGGTTGTGTCATGTGTATCATCCATGAAGGTTGTGTCTTGTGTATCATCCATGAAGGTTGTGTCTTGTGTATCATCCATGAAGGTTGTGTCTTGTGTATCATCCATGAAGGTTGTGTCTTGTGTATCATCCATGAAGGTTGTGTCATGTGTATCATCCATGAAGGTTGTGTCATGTGTATCATCCATGAAGGTTGTGTCATGTGTATCATCCATGAAGGTTGTGTCATGTGTATCATCCATGAAGGTTGTGTCATGTGTATCATCCATGAAGGTTGTGTCATGTGTATCATCCATGAAGGTTGTGTCTTGTGTATCATCCATGAAGGTGGTGTCTTGTGTATCATCCATGAAGGTTGTGTCTTTGTGTATCATCCATGAAGGTTGTGTCTTGTGTATCATCCATGAAGGTTGTGTCTTGTGTATCATCCATGAAGTATCATTGGTAGTGTCTTGTGTATCATCCATGAAGGTTGTGTCTTGTGTATCATCCATGAAAGTGTTGTGTATCATCCATGAAGGTAGTGTCTTGTGTATCATCCATGAAGGTTGTGTCATGTGTATCATCCATGAAGGTTGTGTCTTGTGTATCATCCATCCATGAAAGTGGTATCATCCATGTGTCATGTGTATCATCCATGAAGGTTGTGTCTTGTGTATCATCCATGAAGGTTGTGTCTTGTGTATCATCCATGAAGGTTGTGTCTTGTGTATCATCCATGAAGGTTGTGTCTTGTGTATCATCCATGAAGGTTGTGTCATGTGTATCATCCATGAAGGTTGTGTCTTGTGTATCATCCATGAAGATTGTGTCTTGTGTATCATCCATGAAGGGCTGTGTGTCATCCATGAAGGTAGTGTCTTGTGTATCATCCATGAAGGTTGTGTCTTGTGTATCATCCATGAAGGGAGTGTCTTGTGTATCATCCATGAAGGTAGTGTCTTGTGTATCATCCATGAAGGTTGTGTCTTGTGTATCATCCATGAAGGTTGTGTCTTGTGTATCATCCATGAAGGTAGTGTCATGTGTATCATCCATGAAGGTAGTGTCTTGTGTATCATCCATGAAGGTTGTGTCTTGTGTATCATCCATGAAGGTTGTGTCTTGTGTATCATCCATGAAAGTTGTGTCCATGAAGGTTGTGTGTATCATCCATGAAGGTTGTGTCATGTGTATCATCCATGAAGGTTGTGTCTTGTGTATCATCCATGAAGGTTGTGTCTTGTGTATCATCCATGAAGGTGGTCTTGTTGTGTCTTGTGTATCATCCATGAAGGTTGTGTCATGTGTATCATCCATGAAGGTTGTGTCTTGTGTATCATCCATGAAGGTTGTGTCATGTGTATCATCCATGAAGGTTGTGTCATGTGTATCATCCATGAAGGTTGTGGTATGTGTCATGAAGGTTGTATCATCCATGAAGGTAGTGTCTTGTGTATCATCCATGAAGGTTGTGTATCATGTGTATCATCCATGAAGGTTGTGTCATGTGTATCATCCATGAAGGTAATGTGTCATGTGTATCATCCATGAAGGTTGTGTCATTTTGTGTATCATCCATGAAGGTAGTGTCTTGTGTATCATCCATGAAGGTTGTTGTCTTGTGCTAAATTGTAATGTAATATTTTGTTAATATACCCTTGATTACATTTACCATGTCTTAAATTCCTAACTTTCTATTTCACTAAACTTATGTCACCAAATCTTACACCCCAAATGGACACCACGAGCTAACAATCTCTAGACGTGCTCAACGTATCGAATCGAACTGACTTCAATTTCAGTTCGAACCCCGCACGTGGCGAAAACGCATGGTTTTTTTCATGCTCAACTAGCTTTCCGCGAAGTAAGTTGTTGTCAGGTGTCTTTTCGCGAACTGTTCGTATGTACACAAACTGAAAACTAATAGTTCTGTGTGGACAATCCTTTTGTCCAGTGACATATGTGTAGAACTTTTTGTATGGCCATGAACTGTTACTGGCTACTGAGAGTACATATATCTTTGATGATATTCTGAGGTTGGTGGCTACTCACGATCCAGCAATACTGACAAAACCAACGCGACTCAACATGACATGTACATTACGTGCTTGGAAAACGTACTTCTTTTGTCAGCATGGACGTTATACATGGTATCTGCTTATTTCTCTTAAAGAATTCAGTTCTTTTATTTAACTCGAAGTTGTGAGCCACTTTCCTGTTGACACGGATCATCATTGTCATCAGGTCGAGTGAGGTTCCAAATTTCTCCAGAACATCAGAGAGCGCCTCGATGAACCATGATCCCTGATTTGCATTGCCTTGCCAGGAGAAGTAGCCTGAAAAGTAACATGAACACATCCAGTTTAATACTGTACTTATATGCAATGCACCGTTACATGCCTCCGTGGATAGAATGTTTTGATCACTTGGCAGACCAATATATTATATGTGCATGACCGATACGCCTTTTTTCGTCATTTAGAGGCGGGAAGAAAGTTAACATGTGGACATAGACCCTTACCTTACCTACATGTAAAATACTTTAATTTCATTAGTCAAGTTTGCTTTAACAAGTTTCCATGTCACCCTCCCAGTAAACTTTCTGCCGAGAAGCTGTATCGCTAACAATTGTATGACGTCATAATATGACGCATGCAGTGCATGAAGTTTGAAAACCGTTCGATTAGCTGTTTTCTGTTTCACTATGTACACAATTATTTTACCGACTTTCACTGCTTTTTAATACTATTTTATACATTGATTCGTTTGCACAATCAACCTAAACATAAATAACCACTTTTATTGTTGTTCTAAGCTTTTCAAAATATGTTTTGCTGATCGAAAAAATCCAGTCGAGAGGCAGGCGCCATTTTGTTTACATGTCATATAGTCGGTAGCGATCTTCGAAATAAAATAAAATGATATTTTGTACATTTAACATGGCGGTAAGATAAATACGTTGTATGCTTCTCCCTCGGGTAAAACGGTCTGATGTACAACCTTTTGTAGCAGTGTCATCCCTCGCCTACTGCCCGGGTGACACTGCTACAAAGAGGCGTGCATCAGACCGTATTACCCTCAAAAGAAGCACACAACGTATATTTGCTGATGATAACTACTTTTCCACTTGCACCTAGGTTTAAAGGGCACTTTTGCCCGCTCACGTGAATACTTAGTAAGGAGTTAGTGAATTAATAAATAACTCAGAAAATGTATTCAGAAACCATGTCTCGTCTCTATGTGGCTGACACAATGCTGCTCCCAAGTTAAATATTAACTCACTTACACACTCACAATAAAAACTAAATATAGCCGTCCATTAACCAGACAGTCATCAAAGAGTGATCACCACCTCAGGCTTTAGGTGTTCCTCTACGATCACCTCACCTGGGACGACAGAATATGCAATGAAGAAATCTGCCTCAACGGGGATCCTGTACGTCACTGGTATTAACTCTTCATCCTCAGTATCTCCCGTCACGTCAATCGAATCCATCACGTCCTCAGACTCCTCCTTGTTGCAAGCCTAAAGTGGAATAAACTTCACGTTGGTGAGGGAACATTTTGCTACTTGATCAAATTGATCTGTTGATTAACAAATAGGTATTTAGTAAACGGGTATCAGGCTAATTAGCTATCTCCATCATTCTTCAACTCATTAATTTACAAAGGATTTAAAATATATGTCCGTTCTTCTAAAAGGTTTAGGTTTAAAGACAATCAGAGATTACTTCAAGAACATTTCGATTCTTCATCGAAAAACAACGGAGGAAGACACTAAATGAAGAGACACATTTAACATAAAGTAACTATAACCTGTATAAAAAATAGCTTGGGTTTGCCAGCCAGAGACGGGGTCTTTTTGAATGGATCTACAAAGTCTTCTATCTGTACAGGTTCGTCTGTTCCATAGACCAGTCCTTCCTCGCCATAAGACAGGATGACACACGCGAAACAATCATAGGAGGTGAAGTCCGACGCTGCCACTAGGATAGATAGTTGACATGAAAAACATGGATCACATGAGATAGGACACAGAATCTTTAACATTAAAGCCATGTGCTGATCTGTACCTCTCTTCCAGAGCCTGCTGGTACGGGTAAAGTGGTTTACATATGCTCATGGTATGGTCATATTGTACGATTGACTCTGCTTTTAGCAGAGATTTCTTATGAATGTGGAAAGGATTTTGTCGCTTCTGTGTATATGAAATACTAATCGCTTCTGATTATGTGAAAACAAAATCCAAAAGTTTGGAACATAACAGTATGATATTTTTGAATATCAACGACACTTTTAATGTTTAGCGAAAACACTGTTATATAATCCCACATGTATTGACCAGTAGTGTCCTGTTTTTTTACTGATCAAAGAAGTAGCTCCAACAGTGGCATTCAGTTACATCTTACAGGGAACCCTTACTTATGAGATAAAGTAGTTTCAATATAAGTACCTTTCTTAATAATTGATTTCATCTCAGAAGCTTTCTTGTTTGGATGCATATTTACTGTAAAACCAAGCTCGATGAAACGTTGGTACATCTTTCCAGCATCTGTGTCAGTTCCAGTTCTAGTTGGCTTGTTCTTAAACGTTTTGTTGTCGAAGATAATGGCCAGGCCACGCTTCTCACTGTTCATCCTGTATGTTCTGTCTTGGAATTCTTCTCCTGTATAAACTGGGGTCTGTATGCCACTGTTACAAGATGAAAAAGAAGTTTCAATTTCCCCTGTCTCTCAGTCCTACTCTAGAATTCATACTTTGCTTTTGAACAATTAGATTGAAGGTAGGTAGGTGTAACTCCCAGTCCATAAAATTCAAATTATCTTACCCTGGAGTAACATGACCTGTGCTTGTACTTGGCTCTGACCCGGCGTCTTCACTATCTTGTCCACCTAAAAGATGAAACAAATATTTCAACAGCTAGTGGCTCACCCTAACCATTGCTATAATATTGATGCCATCTAAGCTCTGGATCGCATTGAGTCCCACTATAACGTACTGTCAGTCTCAGTTCAAAAACATATCATGGACTGTGGTCAACAGTGGTGGACTGTTAACATATCTCAAAAATCGAAACTTGAATCATATTCAGCTTTCAAATTAGTACTTAATATAGAATCTTGCCTTCAGCAAATATATAAGAAGATGAAGAGACGTTAACAAGACTCTGCTGCTGCTGCCATAAACTTATGATCGAAACTGGACGTCATACTTATACAGAAGAAGCCAAAAGACTATGTCCACAATGCCAAAGATTAGGTTTTAATTTCAGCGAAAATATATAATTCATATTTAGCATTAAGGCTAATTTCTTTCGATAACTATTCCTACACTAATCCATCATATGGAAAAATTGTACATCTTATGTCTTCTAAATGTAAACACACTGTTACACAACTCTCGAAATATCTTTTCCACGCTTTTAAATTACGAGAGTCACTCAATATTCACTGATGTAATTTCCACGTGTGATAACCTGTTCATGTATAATTGTATTATGTATGTTCTATGGGCCTGTGTCCTGAAACTTGGAAATAAAATTCTATGGCATATAGTACTGTCACTCTGGGATACTATTGGTACTGTCTATACCGAGGACACTGAATAATAGACAAAATGTATAAATTGAATTTCAGGAGTACTCGGATTGATACACCATTATTCTTTGCCAGACCGACAAATAAAAAGATACTGACACTTAATAACGTTAGAGATATAGTACTAATGCATTCTTTGTTTGTCATATATGGCTAGGTTGTCAAAAGAATGAAAGAAAGTTCCCTGTAATATAAGACAATTCAAGCATATTTCATATGACCGTTAAATACAGTGTACGTTCATGAAAACTTTGAGGTTTTGAAACATACTAATATTAACTATCTTTGTCGGAAACTATTCAGTTATATATAAGTTCTATCCCCTATTTAAAGCTGCTGGTACCTGCTTAAACATCTGGTCAAAGCAGATACACCGACACGTTTGACATATCAAAACATGTGTCAATTAGATTAGTTTGTTGTCTAACACTGAAATATCCAAGATATATGACTTGTGTGTGTTATTGATCGAACCTGACCGGACAATCCAGTGATTAACATCGCCAGCTATAATCCATGCTAAGGGGCTAGCGGGGTGATTATGATTTTAGGGGGTCACCCATTTTGTTCTGGGGAGGGGCACCACATGTACTAGGGGGTCAGCAATTTCGTACATTGAAAAATTTAAAAATTATGCTTAAAAAGTATTGGGGGTGGGGTCATTGATTTTGTACATGACATGCAAGGGGGGTCACTTACTTTGTTCATAAATTTTAGAAAACCGTTGCATACATCAACCAAATCACCGAGCATGCCCTGCTGCTGGGGGACCTATATAGGTCCCGGATATCCAGGATAGGTAGTTAGAGACTAGTCAGGTCAGTTGTAACTCACACAAAACGTCAATCGAGTTGTTCTATTTCACAAGGGGGCGGTGGGGTAGCGTAGTGGTTAAAGCGTTCGTTCGTCACGTCGAAGACCCGGGTTGGATTCCCCACATGGGTACAATATGTGAAGCCAATTTCTGGTGTCCCCCGCCGTGATATAGCTGGAATATTGCTAAAAGCGGCGTAAAACTAAACTCACTCACTCACTATTTCACAAGGCGTATCAAGAAGGGTTTTACATGAATAAATGAATGAATGAATAATTGAATGAATGAATGGTATATTTCGACATAACATATTTTGCGACGTGTTGTTATCATTAACTCTCGTGCTGCCAAAACGTCAGCATTATAAAGTTCAAGTTCAGTTTATTCTCAAATAACCACGTATGGTGGTACAAGAGAAAATCAAACATAATCCATTTAAATACATATAAATAAATAGAAACTGTGCACCACAAACCCACAACCCCGTACCACTCACACCCACCCACTCCGCCTCCGCCTCATCAAAAAGCTGTATCCTCTTTTATATCTCTTCCTAATACATTATACGGTTCAATTCTGCCTCAAGATTCCACTTGAAGAATGAATGAATGAATGAATGAAAGGCAAATTTTGACCCAATAACATATCTTGAGTTTGTATTTGTCATGTTGATAACATTAACTCTTTCGCCGGCACAAGTTCAGCATACCTACTTTATCGCATGTACACAGGTGTAGAAACTGTCCCGACTCCCCACCGCCTGACACTTCCTGATAACCTTGTCTGATATTAATAATTATCACTCTGAACACTACATATCTATAATCTTCCCATTTAACTGCTTCGCACTCTTAACAGACACAGTCTACGCAGACCCACACCAACACCAACACAAAACTGTCAACAGGTGTGTCCCAGACTGTACTCTGCTTAAAACAATGCTGCTTTTACTTGTACGAGAAATTATTGCTGCCTCGAAAACGATCCCGGATAGAATGTTTGTATCACAAAATGCAGGGATTGCTCGCTCGTGACAGACTGTATGAATACAAAACGGATTGACCCGAAGCTCGCTAAACCTCCAATATGGCGTCTATCCAACTATTGCATGTCGGGTATACTAGAGTGAGAGCTTTCACAAAAAAAGGTGGCCTGGATATTGGGCAAGATAAATGGTTTCATATGCACGATATTGTTTCAAAATTCAAAGTGGGGATACAATAATGAATGTGAGATTGTGTGACCACTGTGGTCATTACATGTAATGTGTGGGGGCTCTCTGTGTAATACATACATTTACGTAGCTACAGGGTCACTCAGTGCATTCGGTATTTAATGAATGAAAATTCTGTACCCTTATATTTAAGGAAAATCTGAATTCTTAGGTAAAGGTTATGTTTTCCAACAGTTTAAACGACCCCCGTTGCATTGTGTTTGTTTGTTTATTGTTTGTTTATTGTTTAACGCCGCACCCAGCAATACTCCAGCTATATGGCCGCTGTAAATAATATAATCGGGAAAAGCAAACCCAGTGATCAACATCATGAGTATCGATCTACGCAATTGGGATACGATGACATGATTGTGTCAGCCAAGTCAACAAGTCTGAGTCGCCTCTTACGACAAGCATGGGTTGCTGAAGACCAATTCTTCAAGGGTAGGTTGTCCTGCAAAGATTTAAATACTATAAACCAGTTCGTCTTCTTGTCAATTTAAATTTTCGATTCGTATCAATGATTAGCATTGAAATTAAAGCCATCGCTGTAATGTTACACCTCTAGCACTTGGGCATTTATCGTGTATAGTATCGTGTAATCCTATGATTATATAAGCAAAAATAAGGTTATCCATATGCATTATCTCTTTGACTTGATTTGACAAAGAATGATCATTCCTGCCGCACCTTGTTACACACAGTACAAATGTATATTTCAGTTCACAAAAAAACTCTATAAAATTATAAAAGAATTAGCATGTGGGAACGTTCAAGCGCCGCTTGACAGTGTCCCAGTGTTTGTCCTCATTCAGAGTAGACACATGTATGAAACCGGGCATTGAATCAAAAAGAAATGCGCACCAAAAACATGCCCTTTATCTACAACAACTCAAAAATTCAGCTTGTGAAACGCTCGGTCTTGGTGGCTTTTGAAAGCTTTGTCACGAAATTCATAGTGATTCCCCGAGAGACGTTCCCACTAGAATCTTAATATAGCAGCAAGGCAACACTTGAGCTTGAGCTGAAACCTTGACCTTTAAAATGGATCACAACATGTACGTTTGTAAGCCTTACTGCCTGACTTGCATGTAAGATAACAAAGGGTGTAGCCAGCTTTCCCCCGGAAGGACATAATATATCGAGGTTAGCCGCTTTAAATGTATATTGTGTAAATACATACAATGGAAGGTGGGGTGAATTCCAAGGGGCGTACAGCTGTTACTTGTTTCAATTGTATAGAAAGTCATCATATACGCTGCCGACTTGTACATATGAGTGTTGACTGCTTGCACATAACTACCTATACAATACTCTATTAAATAAATGCATTTGTCATGTTGATAACATTAACTCTTTCGCCGGCACAATTTCAGCATACCTACTTTATCGCATGTACACAGGTGTAGAAACTGTCCCCACCGCCTGACACTTCCTGATAACCTTGTCTGATGTTAATAATTATCACTCTGCATGCATGTATGTTTGTTTGTGCGTGCATGCGTGCGTGCTACAACATGATAATCGCTATGAAACGGCGACGATACATAGTCGCAAGGAAGTATCCGTATCTCCCTCCATCGATAACACCCGTTACAAAACACATGCAAAGCCAAGTCAATTGTTCACCTAGAGAAAACCACAGCAGCAATAATCAGAAACTCAAATATCTAACTAAGCGACAATGATTTAAAACCCGGTGTCATATTCAAAGTTTGTCCCCGAACCTTTGTTTATTCCTGAGTGTTACACCAACCTTTGACTAAACTATCGAATAGGTCTACATCAATAAATGAATCAGCTGTCAAATGAGAACATTTTTACCAACTGTCGGATCCATGAACACAGGTAAAACAACAACACCGTGCAGCAAAAACGCTACTATGTTTACTTTTGATTAGACCGCTTGGTGTAGTGGTTGGAGCGTCAGCCCGGAGGGCGGAAGGTCTCAGGTTCGGTCCCTGGCCGCGTCATACCAAAAGACGTTAAAATATGGCACTTGTTGGTCACTGCCTGGCGCTCGGCATCAATGGGTACAACAAGGACTGGTCGGCTCGGAGTCAGTATAATGTGTCTGAGTAGGGTATTCCTGCCTAACTGTGGCATGGTATCTCAGTAAGCTTGAACTATAAAACCAGCTTAAGTCTGGGCTAGTACAGGCAGCCACACGTACACACACATGCACGTCGTCATATGAGCGAAATATTCTTTAGTACGACGTTAAACCCTATTTCTCCTCCTCCCCTACTCCCCTACTTTTCATGTATG